TTACAAAATGTGTCACACAGGAAATTATTATTTGGTGGATGGTGGGTATACGAATGGTCCTGGATTTTTAGCGCCATATAGGGGTGTCAGATACCACTTACAGGAATGGGGTACCGGAAATCGCAGGCCACGAAACTTTAGAGAATTGTACAACCTTCGTCATGCTAAGGCTAGAAATGTGATTGAGCGTGCGTTTGGTATTTTGAAGATGCGATGGCAATTCTTAGGAGTTGTTCATATTATACCATTAGGACACAAAATCACATTATTATGGCATGTGCGCTCCTCCACAACTTCATACGCACCTCAATGGCTAATGATCCCATGGAAGCACTAGTCCCTGAGATACCGACTAACGGAGTGTCCACAACTACGAATGAAGATGAGTTGATAGACCAGGTGGAGGCTAGCCCGGAATGGACACAATTTCGTGACCGATTGGCACAAGATATGTTCAATGATTGGGATCGTAATGTCTTTTAGTTGAATAATTCTGTAAACAGAATCATGTGAGAGACGACATTTTTTTCTTTTCTATGCACCATTTCTTATGTCACGGTTTTGTCATTGCATGGCAAAATTAATTGGTCTTTTTTTAGATGACAGAATATGATGAGATACATAATATGTTCTGTATTCATTAAGCATTAATTTACCATTTTTAGCCTTCTTCGTTTACCAGATGATGCCTTTATTTCTTTTATATGCGATGTCATTATCTTAGGAATAATGATTAAATCAATCCTTTCGTGCAATAGTATTGTCTGCACAGGTATCACCATGGACTATTCGTGTAGCCATGAAACTGGGAGGGCTTCTTCACAACCGAGTCGACGCCGTGTTTGGAGTCCTGCTGAGGAGCAGGCCCTAATAGATATTTTAAAAGATATGGTTAACGAGGGTTGGAGGGCAGACAATGGTTTTACGCAGGGTTACAATTTTGAGATTGAGAGAAGATTGAAGTTGAAGTTTCCTAATTGTACCATTCGTGCGGATCCTCACATAAGCTCCAAGATTCACGTTTGGAGGAAGAACTATGTGAGCGTGGCACTCATAAAAGGTAATTCGGGCTTTGGGTGGAATGAGATTACCAAAACTTTTTCCTGCGAAGATCATGTATGGATAGCATGGTTAAAGGTAAGAATCTAATAAGAAAACACGTAGATTATTTTGGTAAACATATATAACACCATCTACAATTATGGATGGTCGATGTATTTCGATGTTGTAGGTGGATCTTAATGCCAAATCTCTGAGGAACAAGTCCTTCCCACACATCCACGATTGGGCGGAGATCTTTGGGAAGGACAGAGCAGCTGGAGAAAATGCACAGGGCTTTGAAGACGCAGCAAACGAAGTGCCAGCTCAAGACATGCAGCAAGACATGCAGCAGGACACACCAGACTCCGACCATGAGGATGTTCCATTACGTACTAACGTAAGTGATGGAAGCCCACGCGTTGGCATGGGTAACACCTCCGGTACCGCTGCTGAGTCCAGTTCGAGGGCAGGGAAGAGAAAGACAAGTGGCAAAAGAAGGGCATTGAACCAGTGGGAGGAAAGATTCCTAGATATCATGGAATCATTCTCCCAAAATACAAAAGACAGCTTGAATGCGGTTGTATCTAGGCTTGGGTTTGAGCACGATGCTGAGAAGAAAAGGAATGCAGTGTTTGAATCCTTGTCCAACATGCATTTCCTGTCAACTGAAAACAAAATGGTTGTGACAATGCGTTTGTGCAAGAACCCACAGGAGTTTGTCTATGTACTTCAGCCTTAGCCCAGAGAATCAAGCTGTGATGGTGAACATGATGCATGAAGGACGATTGTAGGGTAGTTGTCATGTGAAGACTTATTTGGCATGACTAGACTTATTTTGGCATGTTTTGAAACATGTGGCATTTTAAGACTTATTTCTGTGTTTTTTTTTTTCATTTTGGGTTCCTAAGACTTTGAACTTGTTGTGCTTGTTTTGTGTATGCTTGTTTAAGATATTAGTAATGTGCTTGTTTTGTTGACAATGTAACCTCTTGAATTTTAATGGTAGTACAATGGTTATTTTGTGAATGGTAGTTGTACGTGTATCATTTGAAGTGGAAAGTGTTGGGATATAATATGCGAATCATCTATTTTAGTTTTTTCTCTTTTTTTTTTTGTTGTGTTTATATTATTGTGACAACAGGCACAACATGGACAACATGGATGTTGATTGTGATGTTCCTCATTTTTTCAAGGTTGTGACCACGCTCGACACCATCGTAAGTTTATTTATTTTACTTATTTCGCATCAAACGAAACTGTAAAGTCTTGTCTACGTTTTACGTACGAAACATAAATCCTTTTTCTTTTATGTAGTCATTACCCGGAGCAATACACCACCATTACAGTGAGGTGGTGTTACCACAACAATGTAGTATCGAGACGATAGAGGGGCGCAAGTACGATACCACCTTGCGTATGGTTAACAACTGCCTCACATTTGTGGAGGGGTGGAAAGATTTCATTATATCAGAAGATATAGGTTTGGCATACTTTCTGGTTTTCAGTCCCAGGACCATGTTCGACTTTCAAGTGAGTGTGTTGGAGAGGCACGGATGTGAGAGGTTACCACAGTACACGTTCTCTGTCGAAATCAAGCCAACTCACGTGGAGCGTGCACGTCTGGTATGTTGTTTGATGTCGAAGTGTAGTTATATTGAAATTGCATATTTTATATATGATTGTATTTACCATCTTCTATCATATGTTAGGCCATCCCTATGAGGTCTTGGAGGGATTACATTCAAGGTCACTATTCGAACTACAACTCCGCAATCGTGCAATATGGTGAAAATTCTTATGAGGTCGATATCATTCATGGTCACGGCAAGAAACTCATGCAGAACGGTTGTGCACGGCAGTTGATTGATGACAACAACATTGTTCTAGGCGATGTTTGCACTTTCTTTCTCCTCCCACAATACCAAGTCATCACATTCAAGGTTAAAAATTAGTGGTTTTGTAATATATGATAGTGGATAATGTGCATTTTGGGATGATGTTGGAAACTTTTTTAGGGGTCATGATTTGAACTTATGTGGATTCGGTTGTGAACTTTGTTAGAAACATGGAATTCGCTTAATGCTTGTTGCTATGTTGGTTTTTGAATGGTTAATGTTAGAAACTTAATTTCATTTGAAATGCATCTTTATTATATATGTAAGTGGAGTTTCTAATTCATTTCGATTAAGTTTATTATCCATACATCTTAACTGGAAATGGGATGCAGTTCTTATACCATAATGTACCAATTCGGAGAAAAGAAAAAGAAAAAAAAAATCCATAACTTCTAATCAAACTTAATGGAAACGAATATACGACAACATAAACATTGAAGACATAAATCATCGACTACAAACACAAGGTTCAACTCTTATGGGCACATACAAAAAAACATTATTGATTTTATAAGCTCCACAACCAAACACTCCAACAACCAAACAATAAAAACACAAACTACTACGCAAATCAGCAGGTGCTTAGAAACATAAACATTAAAGAAGGGCAACACAATATTACAACGAGTAATGGCGGCTGAGCAAGTGATTAACCCCATGAAGGACCTAGTACGCCGGCCAATCCGGCGTGTAATCCATTGGAGTGGCGGAACACGCAGTGGACGTAGAATTTGAGTCTACTTCATCGGCTCGAGACTCATATAAGTCGTACTGTGGTATCTGATTCACATAACCATCAGTTGACCCAGTCTGACTATGTATTGTATGATTTTGTTTTGAGGCCTTTGAACTACCGCCCATAAAAAAACACGAACGAGATGGTTTTTTTTTGCGTGGAAGGTCCGTTCGAACAAGGTACGGTTCGAACTTACCTTTTCGATCAGTATATGCACTGTTGTCCTCGACATCTATAATTTCAACACATTTGTCGTGACCCTTTTTTGCATTTGTAGGTTCTTCAGTGTCGTCAGACAAAACGTGATACTCGAATGGAGGTATGTAGGGTGGCTCCACGTGAAACAACTCCACAATCTTATCATGCTGGGGATCGCCTTTCTCCATGTAAGCTATCGCAAAGTCATTCCACTACATGCAAATGAAAATTTACTTCGACTTCGCAACTAAAAAAATTGTAATAACGCAAGGGTGGAGAGATTATGAATACTCACGTTTACCAACTGATGCCACTTGTTGTCGGACGCATGGTAAACATTGTTCGCCTTATCGTACTCAACCCCTTCCTTGTGCTTAAGTTGTGAGAATATATGGTATCTTCTGCCTAAAGTATCAACACGTTGGTTTATATAATCCGACGTGAAACTGGTTCCACAACAACCATTTAGCTCCCTCGTAGCATCGACGATACTACTAGTGTTAGCTACAATTGGGACAAACAAACCAACACGCTTCTCGTCGAGCAAAAACTCGATTAAAAACTCGTCAAGTTTTGGAGTCCAATGTAGGTTGTAGAGATAGTCAGCCTGCACTACCCCAAAGCTGGGAGCCATTGCAAAGATAGAAATTTAAGTAATTTTTTTTTTAAAACGTAAATCCGTAGATGTTGAATGCTTTTGGGTGCTTGGGCATTTAAATAAGCAAATAGCCTCAAAATTCAATCATGCATAACATGACGTAAACAAAACAGTATAGTATGGTCTCTTCACCTCTGTTATTTCCCATCAATTCAACTTTTGTAATAAAGTTGAAAACTGCCCATAGACATGCATTGAAGTGTCTCATTCAGTCTGCCCATAGACATGCATTGAATTGTCCACATTACATTCAAAAGCAAACAGTAAATTGTTCATTACAATATTCGAAACAAACTTAATTCAACATACATAATGACAACTTCAAATAACATAATTGTTCATTACAATAGCACAACAAAATACGACGAGTAGACAATAACTTTCATGTTCAACAACTCCATCTTCAAACAGTCAGTTGTAAGTAAATATGATCATATTCCAAAAATAAACCATCTTCTGCTCCACTAAAGCATCAAGGAATCATCAACCAACTACAAAGTACAAGAACCATGGCACAGAAACAGAATAACATTTTCCTTGCTTTCCTTAGATTTTCAGTACATTCCTTAACCTTCTTCTCCAATTCATCAATCTCGATTTTCAGCAAATCCATCTCCTTAACCTTCATTTCTAATCGTTCAGCCAATAGTTTCTCCATGACTTGTTTGCATCTCAATTGCTCTTCAAGGGACTTATTTTGACTTTTCAACTTCAAATAACACCCTTTCTGATAAGGTGGGAGTTCAGCATCCAACCAAACGAAAAATCGACAGTCTTGGTCCTTAAATAATTGAAAAACTTGCGAATTACTACCTTATTATCCAACCCCCAAATAGTAAAACAAGATAAAATAAATAAATAAATAAAACATAAAGCAAACACAATAATTCACCTTTGGGAGACTGCAACGGTAGAACCTCCTCGCTGGGTTCTGGTCTGTTTGAGATGTTAGCAATTCGGCTTCCACGCCATGGCGGCATGTGGGGTTCATGCCTCCGGAGCTTCGAGAATTTGTAGAACAAAATGACCTCCAAGACGAGGTGGTAGAGTCACTTGACATGGACATAATGAAGTAATGCCAAAATCTGTAATTCTTATAATCATTCAACATTCTAACAATAATCAACAACATCCAAACGTGTTCAGTCTGTCAACATCAAACAACAATGAACTACATACAACATCGTTTAAGGTTCGTTTAAGGTCGTATACTCATTAATCTCAAACAACAAAAACAATTCCATCATAATGAACAAGACCCCATAATATTGAATAAAGTAGATAACATCACATCAATTACTCTCACTTTGGAACAATGGTGGTTATCGAGAGGTGTAAGCAAGGAAACAATACCCCTATTCCAACCTAATAACAAGAAACAATAATATAGAATAAAGTACACAACATCACCATCTTTAATCTCAGTATCTGGAACTATTGGATATTGAAAGATGTGGTAGGAAACAAAACTACAAATATATACAGCTCAATTGGTGACAGCATGTTCCAAAGAACCCTAAACTATCAAAATCACGAAAAGCCAATGTGGAATAAACAAAACATCACCACAATCAACACCTTAGTCCTTACAAACATGTGTTCAAACACAATAGTGGAGGCACTTTAACAATTATTAAGTGAACAGAGAGCCCCCCCAAACAACAACGCAGAGGCAAAAAAAAAAAATAAATAAATAAATCAAGGTTAGAATACATATTCCCAAAAAAATCCAAGTCAAAACCCTACTCTGGAAAAGCAATAAAAAATTAACAGAAGTTGAACAAAGCATAAATTATAATCATCACTACCACATGATTACCTGAAAGGTGGGTGAATTTAGTGCGATTAATCGGATGCGCCGAGTGGGTGGCTTGTCAAACGAACTTTCGGACCCAATTGAGTAAGCCGACGTGACCAACTTCGTACTGCCCATATAGCCCCGTACGGTGTAAATTCGTCGAGATCGTCTTGCTGTTTACCTCATCTTCTGGATCGATTTATCCTCGCCGGCATCCACAGTAATGGCTTCTTCGTCAACCTTAGGCAAGAGATTTGAAATATGATGACGAAGCCACAATTTCAGCAGATCTTGATAGACAATAGGGAGGGCAAATCCGTCATTTTGATATTTTGTCATTAGCTGCACAACATGTTAGTAAACATAGGATGAGATTACAAAAGTAGCAGCAAGTGGTGGTAAACATAGGATGAGTTTTTTAATCCGCTGACTGGATGGACAATTAATCTTGTCCCCCCAAATCCATGTCCTCTCTGGTAAACGAGGCCTAAGAAAATACTTTTGAGAATGATCTCAAATATAAAATTGCGAGTGTTTGGCTTAAAATGGGTAAATGTCGTATTAGTAAAACACATGAGTGAGTATTTGTCCACCACAACTTTGCTATGGAGCTATCTGTATGGTTCATTTTTGGAGTCATCCACACTTATTCACGAATAGTGTATTGACACGTATTTTACAATAAATATATTTTGGACATGTGTCAATACAATAAGTGGTGGATGTCTCCATATAAAAAATCATCCGATAACTCCGTAGAATTTTTGTTATCCACCATACTTGAAAATTCCAACAATTAAAATGGTGAATAGTATACATTATTTATAATGTTGATGGGTGAATTTTTGTCACGTATTATGTTTTATTCGTTTTTTCACAAATCGTGCATCATGAGTATTGTCGAATTTATTGTTGCCAACATTTCGGTAAAATTGCCTCTAAATAGATGGAATTGACACTTTATTTTTCAATTAAAAAATAATAATAATAATAATAATAATAATAATAATAATAATAATAATAATAATAATAATAATAATAATAATAATAATAATAATAATAATAAATTGGTTAATTAAGTTTGAAACGACCTTAAAAAGTTGATTTAGGAGTTCGGAAGCCGATGATGAGACGGAAAAAATGAGATAAAATTTATCGATTTATAACAACTGACCCATCAGTAATCGATCAAGGAAAAATGTAGGCGTTGTTTGTCCATAAAAAAAATCTGGTTCACCCATAGTGATGAACAATATATTTAATTTTTTTGTTCCGGTGGCACTGAAAAGATTATAAAATGAATTCTCTAACTAATGTAGAACTTATAAAATTTCAACGGTGGATTCTGATCATAAGTCAAATAAAGTGACAAAAATCTAGCCCTTTTTTCGTTTCCTAACCAAAATCCAAAATTCAATCATTGGATTCTCATGAGACTTATTTTATCGGAAATCTTGTCTTGTAAATTTCCTAATGACACATTTCCCTAAAAATCGAATATCCTGATTATCAAAAAATTAATAAACGAAGTTTTTCATAATGCCACGAGTTTCGACGGATCAATTATCAGAAACGATAAATCATACTTATTCTTCTCATCATGGACTTCAAAATCCATTGTTCAACTCAAAATTCAAAGTTAATACACAATTGGGAAAAAGAAATTGTGCTGCCATGTCAGAAATTTTAACTGTAAATTACAACTTTTCAATTTTATATACTGTAGGAAGCAATTTATCAAAATAAAATGTCAACAAAGAGTAACAAATATAAATTAAAAATTACGAAAAAAATGAGAAATTATAAAATAATTTTTTTTTTTAATTTAAAAGATTTGTATAATGCGTTCAATTTCATTTATGTGTAACCAAAAATAAAAAATAAGAGTGATTTCCATACTTAGTAACAACCATACATTTGGGCTCATTAATATCAGTTTATTATTCATGTACTTGGGCTTCTTAATATTAGTTTTGTATTAGGCCCATTTGATGTAATATATTGTATCAGCCCATTAGGTTTTATATTTGCCATATATAAGGCAGTGTTAGGGTTTCCTGTACACACTTTTTCATTTTCTCGATTTCATCAGATCAATAAGATGTATTTTCATTTTCTCTCGCTCTCTCCCTCGTTTTCATCTGATTTCATTTGAACACCTTGTTCAATAAATCATATTATGGTATCAATCGCTGAGTTGCTTTCGATCCTTTACTGATATACTTCCGTTGCTTACTATTTTCTCTCGATCGATGTTTTGAGCTTGCAGATATGGTTCTTGTAACCCTAGATCTGTGTTTTCAAACCTTCCGATTTGAGCTACTTTGTTCCAGATCGATATTCTACACTATTTTTGCTTATCGATTCTCATGGCTACTACTACACCGCCGACCGACGATCCGTCATCGCCGTTTTTTCTTCATCCGAGCGATAATCCAGGTGCACTAATCGTTGCAGAGGTGTTTACTGGAGACAATTATGTTTCTTGGTCCCGAGCAGTACTCATGGCTCTCAGTGTTAAGAATAAGGTTGGTTTCATAGATGGTACCATTTATATCCCTTCTCTTACTCAATCTCTTGCTGAATCTCTTGCATGGGTGAGGGCTAATAATCTGGTATTGTCTTGGTTGCTTAATTCTGTGTCTAAAGACATCCATCAGTCCTTATTGTTTTTTAATGTTGCTAAAGATGTTTGGGATGAGATAAAATCTCGTTATGCTTTGAGTAGTGGTCCTAGGGCTTTCCAACTTGAAAAATCCCTAAGTTCTATGGACCAAGGCTCCTTATCTGTGACACAGTACTACAATGCTTTCAAATCTCTATGGGATGAATATGTTACCTATCGGCCTGTTATTCGTTGTACTTGTGGTGCCTGTAATTCCTGCACTTGCAACATTTTTGATGCTATGTCAGCTGCTCAACAGTCTGACTCTGATATGAAATTCCTTATTGGTCTCAATGACTCCTTCTCCTCTCTGAGAAGCCATTTTTTACTGACATCTCCTCTTCCCTCACTTTCTAAAGTATACTCCTTGTTACTTCAAGAGGAGAGTCAAAGAAACCTTCATGTCCCACATATAACTGCTGATCATCTTGCTATGTTTCTCAAAACTTCCCAGTCACAAAACAAATTTCAACCTCCTCACCCTAAACCACAAGCCTTTTCCAAGGATAAGAAAAAGCCTAAATGTCAACACTGTGGTTACAACAACAATCATTCCTCTGACAGATGCTATCAGGTCATTGGTTACCCTTCAAATTGGGTAGGTCCTAAGGGTCCTAGGGTACATCCCTCCCATACAGCTGTCAACTCTGTTTCCACTTTATCAAATCCAGTACAATCATCAACAGAATTCAATACTCCAAACTTGACTGATGCTCTCTTTCATGAGTTTTTAGATTTCAAAAAGTCTCAGGCCCTTAAACAAACCACAACCCAACAACCTATATCCAGTTCTCCTATGGTTGCTACTGCCTTTACACCATCTGCTTCTGCAGGTATCATGCATTTTTCTTGTTCTGCACATTCTAATTTTACATAATACTCATGGATTCCTGATACTGGTGCAACTGATCATATGATTTGTGATTTTTCTCTATTTACCTCTCCACCTACATCTGTTTCTATTAAAACTAATTTGCCAAATGGACAACATACTTCTGCATGCCATGTGGGACAGATAAATCTGGGACCTAATCTTGTGCTGCAGAATGTCTTGTTTGTTCCATCCTTTACTTTCAACCTTATTTATGTTTCTAAGCTAACTTCTACAAATAACTGTGCTGTCAATTTTTTTGTCTGCTTATTGCATTTTACAGGATCTCAAAACCAACATAATGATTGGTTTTGCTGAGACAAAGCATGGCTTATATCATCTGTCCTTACAATCTGACTGCAATGTTGTTTCTGATAACCATGTATCATCTGATAACCATATATCACCTGTCATAAACTCATCTGATAACCATGTATCACATGTCACAAACTCATCTGATAACCATGTATCACCTGTCACAAACTCATCTGATAACCTTGTATCTTATGTTGCACATATATCTTCTACTGATTTTGAACTCTGGCATGCAAGACTTGGACACTTATCATATCATAAACTTGCTCTCTTGCCTTTATCCATCACTTGCAAGTCTCATTTTAATAATCCATGTGATATTTTTCATTTCAGCAGACAAAAGAGATTACCATTTAGTATAAGCACATCTGTTGCATCTGTTGCATCTGCTGCATTTGAGTTGATTCATTGTGACCTCTGGGGTCCATTCTCTGTGCTATCTAGCTCTGGTCATAAATATTTTCTCACCATTTTAGATTATTACAGTAGAACAACATGGATATATCCTTTGGTTCTCAAGTCTGACACTCATTATTACCTTCAACATTTTTACAACTTAGTCTCAACTCAGTTCAATAAGAAAATTTTGTCCTTACGGACAGATAATGGTACTGAGTTTCTATTGCATGATTTTTATCATTCTCATGGTATTATTCATCAGACATCATGTGTTGAGACACCACAGCAAAATGTTAGAGTTGAGAGGAAACATCAGCATTTATTACAAGTAGCTAGGGCCATTATGTTTCATGCTCACTTACCATTGCATTTCTGGATTGATTGCATAACTGCTGCTGCTCATATCATAAACAGAATCCCTTCTAGTGTCATTCATGGCAAATCTCCCTTTGAACTCCTATTTCAAAAGAAACCTTCCTATGAACATTTCAAAGTCATAGGATCATTATGCTATGCATCCACTTTACAACAGGGTAGAAATAAGTTTGCATCTAGAGCTTCTAAATGCATATTGCTTGGATATCCACTCGGTTGTAAAGGTTATAGGCTTTACAACTTGGATACCAAGAAAATCGTAATCTCCAGAAATGTCATCTTCTATGAACATATCCTCCCATTTCAAAACCTCTCACCTACTGATCATGATTCCTCTTCAATGTTTCCCACTCCTCCAGATTTCCCTTTTGACCATATTCACCATCAAACAGTCTCCAATATCCATATAGGTAATCAACCTACTCCTACAGATACACAAAACCAACCTAATTCTACAGATACACAAAACCAACCTGATCAGACCCAAATTACTCATACAGACAACCAAACTGTTCCTCCTATAAATCAGCCTATTCCAGATGCCTCTACCTCCAGAAAATCATCTAGAATAAGAAATATACCATCCTACCTTAATGTGTACAAACATTCCCTTCCCAACTCCTCAGCCACTAACCTTACATACACTGAGGATCCTGATGACATTTCTGGAACATTTCCCAAGTATCCCATTGAACATCATTTATCCACAACACA